GGTTGACGCTTTTGCTCTCTTTACTCAGGCTTTCATCGTCCAAGTGAAAATGAATACTCGTCTAAAACAGTGACATATTAACAACACATCACATCGAAAGACAATTGAGTAAAGAACTGCACCCCACCCGCCCCCCAGTCTTTGAGTAGCCGTCTTCGTCTGTCTCCGTAGGCCTAGTTGATAGACGTGTACAATTATATAAAGTATAATTTAGCTCAAATTAGCTATATTTATGTCTTGTATTTGACATAAGGAGAAAAGAAGCAGGTGGAACACGTTGGGTAAGGGACCGAAGAGTCAACAAGAAAACAAAAATAAAGAGGAACACACACATTTGAGTAAAGAGGAACTGTAAAACGCAGAGAATAAAAAAAGAAACAAACAATAAAAATCAAATAAATCAAATAGAAGGGAAACAAATGAATTGCTGTTGTATGCGTCACTCATTTCTTTCTTCTTTTTTTCATTGCAGCATTTCTTGATTTTTGGCAAGGCTGCAGGTTCAGCAGTCAGACAAGAAACGCCCATTCGTGTTCCGTCATGTATCTCCTACCCGAAAGAGAAAAAAAAATTAAAGTCTTATCTCGAAATAAGCCAACGATCGATAAATGTGCATATGATCAACTTTTCATTGGTCTGAATCCCACAACGTCTCCTGCTGGTTTGGGATTTCTAAAGCTGTTAGGGGATTAGATTGCAAGTGTATCCCTACATGGCAGAATTAATGTCCTCTATTGAAACTTTTCAGAAAGAAATAACTTTGAAGGGGGGCGTTACACATTTTATAATGTATACAGAATTCGGAAAGATCGTGAAACGTTCCTACCGGATTCGTCATTTTGCGGCTTATTTATTCCCGCCAGGGCGGTAAAATGGAACGGATTAACGGGTTTTGAGCGGGCGATTATCTGGCGCTCTGGATCCAGCGAGCTCAATTATTCATGCGCGTTATTCTGAACGCCAGTGAAAGGGTTTTGTTTTGTCTTAGCCCCGACGGCTAGGGGCCACCTCGGTGGCTGGTTCAATAGAAACTGGTTGCTCTGAAAGCCCTGTGATAATTAATATTATGTTGTATATCGTAACGCTGAATATAAGGACATAATTTTATTTTTTTTAGATTATGTCGTGAATTGTCACTTGGTGAATACGGACATGATTTTTTCTTCTTATTATGTTGTGTATTGTAACATGGAGAATACGGGCATAATTCTTTTTTTTCTTCCCCCCCCCCCCCCTCAACCTATTTTTCTGTACCTTATAAGCAGGGAAATGTAAGAAATACTAAAAGTAATGAACATTTATGAGTTTGAGCCTGCTTTGTGGAATAAGATTCGAGCTGAAAGTTGAGTTGTTCTTTGACATGTAAATCATTCTTTCTCTCTCTCTTGCAAGTGGACAATCAGGTCACTCTTACAGTCGACTCTTAATCAAAGTAATATTTTAAATATTTTAATAATTATTATTAGTCGACGATTGGCCAATATAATCTACATATTACTATTATCATACAGTCAACGCTAGTTCAAAATCGTATTATTATTATT